TTTCTTTTATAAAAATGTATTGCTGGTAATTTTTTTCCATGTATTTCTGGTTCTTTTTTTCATATATTGCATTTATTTTATTTTTTTAATTATTGCTGGTAATTTTTACTATAAAAATGTATTTTTATGTTTTCATAGTGTTTTGGGATTAACTATTTGCCCATAGCTGGGACCTTAACAGGTGCTACCACCCTGGGTCAGGGTGGACCTGGGAGCCACAACAATTAAGAGGTGGTTCCATGCTCCTCAAAACTGCCTGATCAGAGGCATTGCTGCCAGATGCAGTTTAGCGTCATACCCAGGATGCACTGGAGTAAACTCTCAACCAATATGGCCACTGGCACCAATACACAATGAATATAGATTTTACAGAGAAAGTATAAAAACTGTACAAATATTTCTGCAGCTACAAAGACATCTATATGTGAATGATTCCCCAGCAAAACAATGTTGCCATTCTTTTATTCTCCCCCTACTTCTGGCACAACCCATGCTTTCCTTGCATATATGCCATCTGCATTATTTATATCCTCCCTAAGACATGTGTTAGTTTTCATTTTTTTACTACATCAGGTACCCTTAGGAATTTGGAAACAATAATTCTATGGAAGACACTGTGAGTTGCTCTCCCCACACCTGCTAAACACAAATTCTTACATAACATTATATTCAATACAACTTAAGTTTATGCAGTCCTTTATCAAGCTCAGAACCTTCAAGTGAGGTTCCCCCTTATTTTAGTTTCATTCTCAAGCTTTCAAGATATCCCATATGGAGATTAATAAGTATTATGCATGCACACATTATCGTACAATCACATTCACTAACCATAAACTGATATATTTAAAAACACATTACTAAATTTATTTGCTCACAACAGTTTCCCCACAATCCTCTCTTAATAATTATACTTATTTTACAAGTACTAGACTGACCATCAAACAGAGTGCCACTTGGATCATTTTCCAAATCAATGCTTTCTATATTTTAACTAACTAACTTAAGATAACATGTGATATTTATTAAGTACTCGGTGTAAGTTCAATAGCCGTTTAGCCTTCGTTCTAACCACTGAGCTATCTCGAAATGCCATGAATGTAGATGCATGTGAGTTCATAGACATGAGTCAATAACATGTGCAGAATGTCCTCCAACAAAGAGGGAACAATCAAATATTGAAACAACAATAATCAAAATTTGAACTTCTTGTTAAATTCAGAATGAAGTGTCTTCGATTAGAAAAGCACAGCAGTATAATTCAAGTACATTTCAAAATAAAGAATGCCAGTATCTAGCAAGGGAAGAGCTTTTGGTCTTCTTTCTCAATTGAGCAGAGTTTTTAACCATCTAACTTAAAATCTCAATGGGGTTTTACGTATAACCTTTTGTAACTAACAGTGACCACCGTTAAAGAGTAAATGAAGCTAAATAGATTATACGTATTTACAATACGATAAGCAGTGCAGTTGTCTTTTAAATATATGCATATACCTCAAGAGTAAGTGATTCTGACTCTTCCCAAAAGAAGAATCTACTTTCAGATCGACTTAATGATATAAGAGCAGCAGATCCGATCTCAATTAGATTGCTGCAATACCATGTCATTGAAACAATGGAGTGCCTCCACAATACTGCTTCATACATTTTTCCATTCCTTGGAATTGAATGAAGTTGCATATTGAGATACCAACTGAAGTGAATAGGATAAGTGTATATGTGTGTGTGTGTATATATATATATATATATATATATATAGCTGCACTCTTTCAGATATTTACCACAAATTAAAAATGCCTGGTTTATCTGGATTCAAACAGCAATAAAATATTCAGATACAGTACTTCCATCCTATGCATAATAGTGCTTCTTCACATATAGACAATAGCTGAAGAGTTTCATCTATCACTAAATTCAGAAAATTTTGTAAAACATTTTATTGATTTCTCTAAAAGAAATCCACAAAGTTTTGTTTTTAAATATGCTTTATATCTTGTTTTGCTTTGTAAGTACACTGTGAACGTAAAGTGGGGGATCGGTTTTCCAGTGATAGGTACATTTTACAGATATATTTAAGTTAAATATTAACAAGTTCCTACTGGACATAAAGTGGAGGATCGGGTTTTCTATTGTTATTAAGTCATAAGTCCATCCACCCTAGAAATACTTCACTATCTCAGATTTTATTATGCAAGTCAATGTTTTCACAATAAGTTTCATATTAAATAATTGATATTTGGTAAAATTTGTACACATCCATCTCAAAATGTGTCTGCATCTCAATATGTCAATGCACTTATAAACAAGAGATCCATGCACGTGATTGTTTGTGCATTGATTTTCTTTGTTTTCTGGAACATTGACAGCTATTTCATTTGTAATAGATCTTCTATTAAGCAACAATTTCTTTTTAGACATCAAGCTGTACAAAGCTTCAAATCTAATGAGGGATCTCCTCCATTCGAGATTGTCTAATTTTTCTGAGTTTTAATAGATTAGTCTTTGCCACTTCCACATCAAGAATCCAAGTTTAGAATAGTTCTATACATTCAGAAGGTAGGAGGTGACATAATGTGTAAGAACTTAGAAAATGGAATATGATATTCCACAGGCTCTGTCCTACTTCCAGTCATATTGTCAGCACAACAGAGAGAAAAAAAGATTACTCAGGCAACAGTAGAAAAATAGTAATAATATCCATTCTCCACCATGAAAGATGACACATGTAAAGATTCCATATGCATGAAGCATATCAACTGTAGATATCATTTTTAAAATAATATCGTGAAGAACATCTAATGCCAAACTAGAGTGAAAAATCTTTAAAGATAACACTAACAAAGTACATATTTATTATGTGCATAGACAAAAGTGAGTTAAGTGAAAAGAACTCATAAAAACATCTGAGTTTTGTCAAGTATTCTAGAGAGAGATTACACGCTTTGAGAAAAGAAATTAATAGGCAGAATCAAAAGGCACATTAATGTTCTTCAATAACAGGCCATGCTGCTCAGCAGTAGGCTTTATTTAATCTACTTCAATATATTTAGCTAAAGGTAGTTGTGAGTAGGGATATTATAATGTCCCTTATTGGATCTATCACTATAAAATATAACATTTATTATTATTAAAACTTTTTGCTAAGGTTTTAATGCAATTCCTCTTAATAGAAATGCTATGTCATGCATGGTACCAAACCCATTCAGAAAATGTCTAAACTATCAGTTGTATACAACAGTTTCCTAAAACCAATGGTTAAAAATGTCTTTCAGTGAATGAAGCCAGTTGATCTTGGCAAAGACCATCCTTCTTTGAACATTGTGGACAGGCGCTAAAGAATCAGGAATAACAGAAACCACATCACTTGATGACTTACAGCAACAGCTAATATGAATATCAAGTGCAACTTGAATTGGAAGACCCCCCCTCCATCAATACTGGAAAGAGTGATAACAGTTACTGGACTTGAGAAGTCTATTTTCCTAAAAAGTTGTTTTAGAAGAAAGATTTTTTTATGAAACTCAACTGGCTGCTCTGTCAATGTATAGCGAATGTTTTCTTACAAGGAAATGGCTAACATTACCATTACTATCTAAGCACTGCTATGGCTGGCAATATAACTGTATCATAAGAATGAAGGAAGCATTTAAACTAATTAAAGCCAATCATTGCATGACAACCTACTGTAGCAACAGTAGTCAAGAAGCTTCAAGAAAAATTAGATTCTGTCAAGAAAAATGAGAAATGCAGTAGTTAAACTATAAATTAAAAAAAAGAAAAAATCTTGCTTTTATTTTCTCTAAAATAATTCAATTAGCTTCAAATTTTCTAGACTGGAGACTTACAAACAAAAATACAAATACTGCTTTTAAATATATATTTAACATTGAGTAGTGGCAATGTGTAATCAAGGCTTTAGTCAAACATCCTTTTGATAGAAGATACAGAGCATCTGATGTAAAACAAAGAAAGTCATTGTGATAGGTAATTGAAAAAGAAAGAAATCAGATAAATATTATTTCGGCCAATTCTGAGAACGGGCTGAACCATGCTTAAATGATCCAAAAAGTGAATCATTTAAGCAAGGTTCAACACTTCACAGAAATGAGAAGAGAGAATAGATGGTGCTTCCAGAAAAAATACACAAGAGAAAATGTTCATAAATTATTCATCAAATAATCACTTTCATCATCTTATTGGTTTTGTATTGAAAATCATTTGCTCCAATTTCCTTATGCTGATGTAAGTCTTCCAAAGTAAAAAAAAAAACCTCCCTACTAACCTGTATTAATATGTGTGATATCCAACTTAAACATAAGAAAACCATTCCTTTTAGTGACCGGTGATGAATACAGAATGCAAGTGATCATGGGCCATAAAAAAATGAACCAAAAGCTGATCTTCATCAAAGTAGTGTGGTTCTGTATATATGGTAGAATTGGAAAAGAGTACTTTACTATGAGTTCCAGAGAATGAAATGTGGTGAAAACAGATACTGTTCTCACACAATTTGAAGACAGCAATCAAGCAAAAGTCTCTTGAATTAGTTAAGATAAAGGTCATATTCTATTAGGAAAACAATAAACAACATGTTTCTTTGAGGGGCAGACAAACATTGTTACAGCGCATCTCAAAAGTTTTTACTCCTCTCTTTTAATTGTCAGATATTACACTTTCATAAAACTCTATAAGGTACTTCCAGCCAAGGAAAAAAGACAATTAAAACAAAAAATCATAAAAGAATAAAACTTGAACAAAGCCTGTTCATAGAGGTTAAGCAAAGATAGTGATCTCAGACTTAAGGACCTGGAAAATCCTGTAACAGAGAATTTTGTAAGAGGCAAATAAATAGGCAATGTTTTTCATAGCACATCATAGGAGAAATGTTGCATGAAATACATAATGTTTCTCCCAGGAACTCAGCAATACTTTAGATGAGAAAAGTAAAGTGTTTAGCATTATCTATAACTTGACATAAAGAGATAAAACAGATTATGACTCACCACATTATTTGAATTTGGCTGGACATCTCCACAGATGACCCAAGATGTGTCAGTTTCCCCAACCATTTCCAATTTGACTCCTCCCTTGCTGTAGAGATAACATTGCTTGTTGGATCCACCTACTATAATGAACTCGCCATGAGAGAACCACTTGAGAAAACATGGGTCATATCCAAGGTGGGTGTCACGACCAATCTAAAAAGAACACCACATAAAATTTTAAATAATAAAGTTGGTTCAACTGAAATTTTGGATAAAATAACTATGATAAAATCAGATCCCGAGGCATCATCGAGTTGACTTGATTTTTTAAATTGCCTGAAATATAATTGCGCAAATATAAAGACCACATGAAATGATTCTTTCACATCAGACTTGATATTCTTTTCAAAAGCAATAAAATGGGAATCTACAATTTTAATAAAAAGCTTTCTGAAGTTTCTAATAAAACAGACTAAATTCCTGTTGTCAATTATTAGTTTTTGATATTATTTTCAACTTTGTTGATTTCTTTTCCAAAACTTTTCAGCATTCTGTCACATATACAAACTCTTATTTGCTTATAATACCTATAAGGTTACAGGGTCAAGCTTTCAAATCTTCTTTTAAGTATGATATTCCTCAATTAATACATATTACTTTTAGTTATCAACCCATCTGATTTTTTCTTATATTACATCTAAATGCATATTTTCTTTACTTTTTATAAATTTTTAGCAGGATCCACACATCAACATATTTTTTATATATTCTATATATAGCTTTTTGAATATTGCTTCGATAAACATACTTATTTCTACTATAGGCTTGCCAATAGGATAATTTTATTGTATGATAGACACTTGTACATTATTTACATTATTCGGACTATTGTCCTCATCTTTGTCGCCATATTTATTACAACGTTTCGGCCATTGTACGCTCCGGCCTTCTTCAGGTGGTTGGAATGTTGAACTGAACCCTTTATTTCGCTCACTGGGGTAGACTGTTCTAGTTCCACATGCTATGTTTAATGGATGTCAGTTATCAGTTATCTCCTGTTAATTTCCATCTGAAAGTTCTCGAAAGATGAGGACAATAGTCCAAATAATGTAAATAATGTACATAATACCTAATCTCTGAAATATAGACAGATACTGATAGACACTTGGTTGTTCAGTTTAATTTGAGAGAGTGATTTCTTGACATATGTGATTTGCCATAGACAATTCCATAGTGTCACACTGGAGCAGGGCTTTGTGGTAATCCTTCTGTTATTACAATCTTTCTTCCAGTCCATTCCATAGCCTTCTTCAGGTGTACAATTTATACAGAAAGAAACTATCCTTATATTCCTTCTTATAATTGCATAGAATACTCAACATCCATAACATTGAAATGGCCCAGAAAATGGTTGCGTAGAGAAAATTAAAATGTAACATGATGAATGCCTGTTGGTTTTGTATAGATTCACTCAAATTTCAAAATTTGTAAACATTATTTCACACCAGTAGACATATTCTTCAAGCCCATTATCTCCATCCTGTAACTTGACAATCAACATAAATGACAATTATATGAGGTTATCATTTTTAATATATTTTAAAATATGATGATTCATTATAAAGAGATGTAGCTTCAATAAATGTGTATAAAACGTTTCTGCATTCAAAGAGCAATGATTGAAAAATATATAAATTAATAATAATCAAAATGTAATATTTAATAATAACTTTAATAACTTATATTTGATTGTATGAAATGGATTTGATATTTATTAATAATCGTGTATGAATGGTCGCAGCTTTTGAACACATTTATAAAAGATTCAGCCAAAATTGAATAAACAGTTTAGTTAAAATGATGGCTGTTGACTCATTGACTGAGTAAGACTATTTCCATTAACATATAAAACAACTACTGTACTGACAATTTACACCAAATTCTACATGCATCATGAAAATGAATTTATTTATTTGGCTAAAATTATATGCAAATTATACAATTATGTACAAATTTAAATATTATGCTACAAAATTAATAAACAAATATGGATTATTGTTTGAGAGTAAAAATTTTGAATAAAATAAATAAAATGCATGAAATATGTACAAGTGACTTATAAATTGTGTGATCTACCATGACTCTTAAGCCCTGCAAGGGATGAAGAGATTTTTTTCTACAAATATGATAAAAAAAGTCACTTGTTTTGATTGTTTATTCAGTTATTCATTATCACCTTGCATGAGGTGAAATGTTTACAAAAAGTAACTCATCAATGAAATGAAAAAGAAGAAGGAAAAAGAAACAACAGGACTGTTTTTAACCACACAGAAAAAGAAACATAAAACATTTTTCACAACAAATTTTCTACTTATATTGTAGTGATATGTAAATGACTGCCTAACTAAGGCAGAGAGACTATATAAGTGCCCAAGCAGTAAGGGGAGGAGCAAAATATGATGTAGAAGATTAACAACTACTTCTGAACTGAGAAAATACAAATGAAATTGCATTTTATTAAACATATAAATTAAACGAGTAAACAGTTCATTTTGATTTCACAAATACAAACATCATTTAAGCCCTCTTTATTATACACTGATATAGTTGGACTAGTACCCTCAACTTGGGTGCTGTTATAATCACAAATTTTCACATATTGTACCATATTGTCTTTTTCAGTAACCTTCCAGGAATTTTTAACTAAACTGTTTATTCAATTTTGGCTGAATCTTTTATTTAATTGACAGTGGTAGATTATTCTCATTATACTGCCCCTGTTAGAAAAATTTCCAAAAGTTTCCTGAATAAGACAGAAATCTGAAGAAGAGGAAATGATTTTAAATAATAATAATCAAGGTGGGGACACTGCTCCAAATAGATTTATGTATAATAATGATGATTCTTTATCTTACCAATTTTAGTAACCATACAGGCATTGATACCTAATTACAAGTACTTCCATACTAAATTTGTTTCATGCATTACATACTTCTCTAAAATACATTAAATATTATTACAAGTTACCTAACTATGCATAAATCCATTAACAGTTCATATTTGATTGATTCATTTTTATGGGTTATCAACCCCTTGTGGTTTATTTAAAACCAAAACATGTTTTTGGGATTGTAGTCCTTTATTTGTGAGTGAATATTGCATTAACAATTTTTTGGAAATAACAATTTTTCCAGATATATAACCTACTATTTAACCTATAGCTATAGTTTTAGTATTATCTACATAATACTAAAACTCTAATCTTGTATGTATGCATGTGTTTCTGAGATACAGCTTAAATGATACACAATACCCCAATTAATTTAGGAGTATATTGTACCGTAATCCTTGCCAAGTGCTGTGTCAAATTTCATTAGAATTAGATAAGGGGGTCCTTGAGCTAGGGCCATTTTTTTTGTTTTTACGACATTTTTGATAGCAAATTCAGTATTTGTTTTTGATGCATATCATTTTATATCAATTCGCATATATATACAAACACTTGCATATTATGTTCCAAATATTGTGTGTGTGAAAAATAATAAATATTCATAATACATTATAACAACACTATTAAATAAATTTAAATATGCATAATACAACATATTTTTATACAATTCTCTACATTACATTAGAACTTTTTTTATAAACAGCTACTTGAAAGGTGAAGAGGCTATATGTGTCACATGACTTGATACTAAATAAATAAACAGATGCATGCATATTTATTACATTGAAAAAGAGTACATCCATTTTAATTTTTTATTTAAAATTCATTTTATAGAAAAATTTTCTCTTTAAATGTAAAGAAGTAAAACATATTTATTGATATCATAAAATAATTTATTTTCATGCTTTCAATCAGGATATTTTTGCATTAAGGTGTTTTTTGATTTCAGGAAAGAAAAAATTTTACTTATTATTAACTAATAATTAATAACTACTTTAAAAACATTAAAATATCTATTCTATAAAACTTTGCAAAATAGATAAAGTCTATTGTTACAAGTTACTTTACAATTCAAAAATCCAGTGGAAACATCAGACCATTCAGCCACAGCAAATATGGTTGAACATGAAAAATTCAAGAATTTGGGAATATACTTTTTAATTTTGTTACTTTTATATAATCAAGGAATTACATGAAATTGTAATGAAAGTACAAGTCAAGCAGAAAAAAATGTGGTAGCAAAAGTTAGACAGGATAAACAAATAAGCCATTATTCTCAGGTTTATTTTTATAATATAGAAATTACTTGGATTTTTTACCAAATTGCAATATGTACTTTATAATTTCCATCATTCCAACCCATATTTTAGCATTGATCCAACCTCTAAAGGAATAATAAATCATCAAAGAACATAAAATACCAGGTGCAATTTTCATTTAAGGAAGCAAATGTTACGATAAAATCATGTCTGCAAAATCAATATAGCATTGATTATTTTACTTTACTTGCTTTAATCATTTATTACAGAAATGCTAACATTTCAGACTATTGATACTATTTTAAACATGTGAGTGAATATAATCACTTTTTTAATCAATTCACTTTAAGCAAGGCAATAAAGTTGCTAAGACACAAGGGGTTACTGAGAATGAGAAAGTCTGTGAAAATACATTATTGAGATAAATCAATACAAGAACAGGATTCAAGTAGATACAAGACAATTGACTTTGCATTTAAATTTTTGAATGTTGACTGGATAGCAAGAAGCTGAAAGAGAGTTCCACAAGTGAGAAGTGTGAGAGAAGAAACTGTTAGCATAGAACTTATGGTTACATCAAGAAATTGCAACTGTAACATGATCATACCTAGCTGCCAACCTAGTACTACTTTTAAATCAGTAAAGTCAAAGTACCAACAAGGAAAGCTCACCAGAACAATTACTATGAAAATATTTATAGAAAAGAAAAGCTACATTATGGTGGTGGGGAAGTCAATGAATCTGAGATGCCATGTCCAATAATAATGCAGATTCTTCTTTGGATTTTAGCAAGAATCTCTCTCTCTCATATGTGTGTGTGTATGTGTATATATATATATATATATATATAAGAAGCACCAGACTAGCTGTGGCAGCAATATTCAATACATGTATAAATGATAGACTTATAATGATGTAAGAGAGAATCTAACAAGAAAAATTGTCTAGAACAACATAATGAACCAGCTTCCCTAGCAGTAGACCTTTCAATTCATTCAATATAA